ACTCCTTTGTTTGGGGTGTTGATAAGACACATTAAGTTAGAAAAGGATGATGGAAATCTTGAAGTTCACTTATGTGTTGAATTCACATGTTTTTCATTTATAGGTGAATGCATAATCACTTCTCTGGTGATTTTCTGGGACAATTGTCCTCTCGGGTCCCAGCAACATGATAAGAAATGGGCATGTGAGGTGTATGGAGGGACCGTGAGAAAGGATACAGACGCATGTGGGAAGGCATTTGGGATACACCTTTTTAAAATGTCTATTTCTTCAGGCATAGGTGACTAAGGGAAAACACAGACATGCTGAGGTGAGGGGAATGGGGGTGGATCAAGGAAATACAAGAACACCAGCAGGTCCATGCATGGACTCTCCGTCCCTTGATGACCCAGGATATGGACAGTGTTGATGTTTACATCTTCAGATGGATTAAGCTTTTCTCCAAGATTCTTTATTAGGTCAGGAGTGCATATTGTTTGTAACTAACACTACTGCGAGTGCATTTTGTTCCTTGCCAACTCTAGTGAGGATCTCTTCTCACTAATGAGTGGCACTCTATATTGCTTCTGGAGCCCAGGGCCCTTTTACTTTCTGTGGCATGCTTTTTTTTTTTTTTGCCAGTGTACTTTGTACAAGGCTAATAATGTAAAGAGAAGGAACCCAAAATGGCAGAGCATGTGTTACGAGCCTCAAGCAGGAGGACAAAACATACAGCCTTCCTTATGGAGTGAGTGGCTGTTACCCCGGAACATCTGTGTCTCTGCACAGGACAAGGAGTTGTCTCTGTCACAGAGGGGGAGGGGGATTTCAGTGGTGAGTGCAGAACTTTTTTCTCCATTCCCAGATAAAACAGTTCCTGCACGAGCATCCGCCTTGGTGAGGCACTAATAGAGTGCTAACATTCCTGTGCCGTACGGACTCTGGTCACCACAGCTTCAGTGTGAAGAGCTGTGTTGTCTCGGGGAAGAGGGTTTGACAGTCAAAGTTCTTGCAGTTTTTGTGCTGCCTTCCATATGCATTACAGACCTCCTGCTGGGTATCAGCAGTTGAGCTTTGAAAATCTGTAGCCCAGTTTTGCCCCTGCTCCCATGCAGACAGCTGAGGCTCTTGGGTGAGAGTGTTGACCTCCTCTGACTGCTGTCCCCATGACCCACCAATGCAGGAGAAACAGGCTTTCTCAGCAATTTACTCGGTCAACAGTGGAAACTCTTTGTTCCCCCAAGCTGGCCTCTATGCTACCGTGTGCTTGTCAAAGGACACTGCTGCACAGTAGAGTAACCCAACAGTGGGAGTCGAGCAGAAGATTGGTGTGTACACTCAGGGCAGCTCAGACTGGGAAATGTCTAGGGACTTGCCTGTCACCAGTACTTGCCCCAATTTAATGCATAAGAAAAAAGTGAGGAAAGGGTCTTACCATGATTTTTCTAAGAGGTAACTACATAATGAGAAGATTATAAGTAAATTCCAGGACTAGTTTTGAGACTGGTCTGTTTTAAAGTGGTAGGGGAAGACCTTTTCCCAGGGAAGACAGCAAACCATCAGCTGTCCCGTATCGACTGGGCTGGTGGCTCAGGCACATTGGCCACCCCACAAAGTGAATGCAGCTGCCTGGCCTTCTTCCTCAAATCCTACATGCAATTCAGTCTGGTAATTTCACATGGATTCCAATGTCTTATCAGAGAAAGTGCTGAACTGTACCGTCAGTCTGCTGAAAACAATTAGACATCTTTTCTTTGTACTACGTAAACATTCTGAAAATCTTATTTTGGCCGGTGTGGTGGCCACACCTTCAATCCCAGCACTTTTGGAGGCTGAGGTGGGCGGATCACCTGACATCTGTTGTTCGAGACCAGACTGACCAACACGGACAAACCCAGTCTCTATTAAAAATACAAAAATCGGCCACGCGTGCTGGTGTATGCCTGTGATCCCAGCTACTCGGGAGGCTGAGGCAGGAGAATCGCTTGAAACCTGGGAGGTGGACATTGGGGTGAGCCTAGATCACGGCACTGCACTCCACTTGGCCAACAAGGCTGAAACCCCACTTAAAAAAGAATGTCTTTTAAGCACCTGGGAACAGGGACAAGTGTGCAGCTTGGTTCCATAGCTAAACGTGTGTCATGGTGGTTTGCTGCAGCAGCCAACACATCACCTAGTTATTAAGGGCACCATGGTATAGCTATTGTTCCTGATGCTCTTCCTCCCACATTTAACCTGAGAGGCACTGGTGTGTTATGTTCCCCTCCCTGTGTCCATGTGTTCGCATCTTTCAGCTCTCACCTCGGAGTAAGAACATGCAGTGTTTGGATTTCTGTTCCTGTTTTAGTTTGCTGAGAATGAGGGTTTCTATCTCCAT